TTGAATGCATAATTTTTTCGTACATGTTCAAATCATTTACAGCGATTGTTATTACAAAGCAAATTATTCAATGCAAATAAGGTGAGATGAAAACTTCTTTTTTGTTAAAAAAAGGCAAAACATTTTTGTAAGATGCACAAAAATTAAGTGGACATTAAGATGTCGATTATGATATTTAAGTAATTATTTATCAATTAATATTTATTGCAATATAATTTTTAAAAGTTTTTTATGGTTGTATTTTTTAACATATTTTTTTTATCACACCCCTTAATAAGGATGAAATGAGAAAACCAGGGAAAGCTGCCATGACGTTGAATTGGAAGATGGTGATGGAGCACAAATCATAGAAACACTCGAAGTTTTTCATCTTTCTATTCCTCTGATCGTCTCCTTGGTAACCTAAAGATGTTCGAAGTTCTCTCCTATCCGATGAGATATTCTTTTCGACAAACTCTTATGTGGTCTTAAGGTACATGTTCCTTTTATCGACCTAAGGTACATCTTCCTTCTATAGACCTTAGTAGAACAGATCTACTAGTCAACCTATAAAAAATGTGAGAAAATTCGTATTTTACATGTGAACCTTAAGACCATTTAAGAACAACTCATTCGTATTAATTCACTATCAAGGCTCACTTTTTGGAAAACAAATATAAAAAGCCAATATGGAATCTTAATATTGAAGAATACATATTGATAATCTCTTGCAATAAAAGATTATTTATGACTCTCTCCGTCTCATAGTATGCCAGTATGTCTCCAATTTAACTTTTCTTAGTCAACAAAGATCGACCTTTGACTTTTAATTAGATAAAAATTATATAATAATTTAATTACATAAAATAATATATATTTTGAAAATTTTTTTACTACCTAATACTCTGTATAAATTGTACTACGTATTTAACTAGTGGTCAAAATTTATCATTTTTAATTATAAAAAGTACTGTGTTTTAGAGTTTTAGGTAACATTTTCAGAAAGTAGTGTTGGCTCTAGTGATTGCTTTATTACTCATTAGTGTTCTTGTTTTTTCAAAGTTCATTAAACTCCTACCCCTTTCAAACAAAACAAAACTTTTTGTAGATTAACTATTTTGATGAAAGCTTCCAAAAACTGCAAACGTTTTTAGCTGTGAATTTGGTTTCACGACGACTTTATATCCAATTACTATGGCCACAAATAAATATTAGTGTCAAAATAAGGGATATTCTTGTATTATAAAGTACTACGGGCATGTTTGGGATTAACGTCAGAGGTTAGCGTTTTGAAAAGAGTATCTATGGACATGGTTTATCGTTAGCGTTTTCGAATTCAAAGTTAATCTGCGTCGTTAAAATTTTATCCAAAACACTAACGCTGATCAAAAACGACATTTCCAGACGGGCCCTACGCACGTAATCAATTAAATACTTCTTGTTGTATCCATTGAGAAACCGATCCTCATATAGAACTTCAAATACTTTCAGGCCAACCCGTGCGGATAGCTTAGATGGCATCAAGGACGTGATTAAAAATACAGAATTCCTATTTTTGGACTTTCTCTATGTTTTACTCATATTTAGGTGATTTCTTTACAAATTTATCCCATGCCGGATTAAGAAGAAATTAAATGGGCAAAAATGTAAGTGCTCACAAAACTTTCTTGTACGCACCACTTGGCATTAGGTGCATGGAAAATATGAGACTTTAATTTCACCAAGGTTCCAATGACATTGGAATCTAATGTCATGGGATGACCCGGAGGTGCTCCGGTGCCCCGTTCGTAAAATTGACGGTTCCTACCCTCTAACCCCCCCTCCCCGGTAAACCCCCTCATCCCGCACTGACCCGAACACCCCCTACTCCCGTCAATTACACCTCACAAGTTGATTTTGACTTTGGAGTCAAAATTTGTCATGGGAACCCCACCCCTTTAATTTATACTCCCATCACCAATTTATCTCCAAAATTAGACCTCGTGTAGATAGTACCACTGCCTAATGATAACTATATGCATGGGAGGAAAAGTTAAAGATACCTACCAATAACAACATAGTCTTTTTTAAAGGCTAATGCATGTTTGTCACTCACAAAACATGTGAAATTTTATCAATTTTAAAATTATTTTAACTACATGTTGATATATAATTATTTATATATGTAGAAAATAAAAGCTACAACACCGTTTAATAATACATCAAAGGTCTTATATAACAAAATGTGACAAGAACATAATTTATCCGTTGTCTCAAAAAAAAGCCTCCCAATTGGGTTTGGCACAAAGTTAAATGAAATTATGTGGTTAAAAATATGACAGTGGTAAGAGAACTCTTTTTTTAAGACATCTCGAAAAAGAAATGATGAGTTTTTGTTTGTGAGAGAGAGTATTATTTTATTGATCAAATGATTTATTCAAATATACAACCAAACAAAACTTATCGAGTTGTCATAATAGTCTTCCTTTTTCACTATCCAAAATCACAAAACTTTTTTGTTTATTTGTGTGTTACCAATAATTTTGTCAAATTTTTATTATAGTTTTTAAATATGTAAGTTTTATTTTTTATTAATATATCAATCTTTAAATAAAACGAATTTAAAAAGTTCTAAATTTTACTTCATTTTGCATCAGTGAAGATAATTATGCTACAAAGGGAGTACTTTATTTTATTTTTAGTAATAAACATGCGACGACAACAAAATTCGTACATATAAAAACTACTCCCTCCGTCTCAAAAAGTTTGTTACGTTTAGAAAAAACTGCGTCCCGTAAAGTCCGTTACATTTCTATTAAAAAACCACTTTTACCCCTTACTTTTTCATACCCTACCTATCACATCATACTTTTTTTCTAATAATCTACTCATCACATCCTACTTTTACCCATCACATCAAGGGTATTTTTAGAAAGTCAATACCAAAATATCCCTCCCTTAATTTCCCAAAAAATCAAGCCGTCCCATTCTTTTTGGGATGGAGGGAGTACATCAAAAGATAGGATCTACAAAACAATATGTGACAAGACTACATTATTTTATCAAATAACTAACAAAAAAAGTAAAGAAAGTGATTAAAGTTTGACGTGTAAATAGTAACTGGAAAGAACATTTTAAGAGGGAGATAATAGTATAATACTTCATATCTCATACATAATCTATCGTGTAACACATCATCTTTTTCTCACACGTGGACTATATATATATATAGGGGCTGGTTCAAGTGAGAATGCACCTTGGTGAAAGAAATAAGAATAAAATCTGGCCTTTGGATCTGATGCATCGTGCGGCTCAGATTGCATTCTGCACTCAAATTTTGAGATAGTGCATTTTCAAAGGATTATGGTGCATTTCGACATGATGCATTTTCAAACCATCTTGGTGCACCTAATTTTGATGCAATCCTAACCCTTAGATCTCCCAATCTAATGCACCAGATTCATTCTTATTTCTTTCATTAGATTGCATTCTCACCTGAACCAATATATATATATATATATATATATATATATATATATATATATATATATATATATATATATATATATATATATATAGTCAACAAAATCTTATCATCTTGATTATTCATTCCCATGGCAGAGTTCAACAATATAGAAGTAGAGGATCTCTTCAACTTGAAGAACAATCTTCATGATGAGATCAATCTAAACTACTGCAACAACCAACAAGGGATAAACCAAATGGGGTTTGCCCCCCCAAATGATGATGAACAGAACGTCATCATCATGGAGAAGCACCAGAGATCAGCAGCTGCGGCTGATCAATGCTTCTCCATGATGACTTTCAACGATGAGATTCAAATCCCCAGCTATGATCATCATCATCATCATCCATTATTATCTCCTCCCTTGTTTCCCCCCATGGAAGATGGTACAATTTATCATGCTTCATCTTCTCAACCTTTTCCCCTTAAGGTTATTACTTCTTCATTTGTTATGTTCATTTAGCTCATACTATACATGCATGCATACATACTGCATATATACATACATGATGATGATGATGCATGAGATATTATGTTGGTTTTCTTACGTGTCTTGGCAGAATTACGTTAGAAGGAAGAGAAAGAGGAACAACAATAAAGATAAGGGAGAAGGTGATGATCATCATGGGAAGGCAAAAGAGGTTGTTCATGTAAGAGCAAAGAGAGGACAAGCTACAGATAGTCATAGCTTGGCTGAAAGGGTAATTAAGTCACTAGCTATCTAAGCTCCACCTAGACAGGGACAGGGACTAATACGGGGACGGGGTCGGAAGCGTGAAACGTCAATTTTTTTCATAATTTATTAAAAATTTGGGTGTGAGGGCACCCCGGCCAAGTACCCGAATGATGACGTTTCAGAGACGGGAAGCGACACCTACTTGAAGAATCCATGCAGCATAGCTAGCGATTCCATGAGACCTATACTATACGATTTAATCCCGCTTTTGACACTGAGTCTGAGTGTCATAGTATGACATTGAGGTTTTACGGTACTTTGATATGAGACCCCAGACAACCCACTTCGAGGCCAAAAGATTATTAATTAGGGAACCCCTAAATGTCTCATTGTCATACTATGACATCGAGTTTTTCATCAAAATATTCCTGCTAATGATTTAATTTGATCATGATGATCAATTAAATAAGGGGTTTTTGTTTGTGTTTTTTATTTTTTGGGGGTTTGGGGGAGTACTTTACATATTACTCCTAAAATTAATTTGTAATTGTTTGTATTTTGTAGCAACGTAGGGAGAAAATAAATGAAAAGCTCAAATCCTTGCAAGGTTTGGTTCCAGGTTGTTATAAGGTACGTAATAATTATCAGGCCTTCTATGAAAACTCTTTTCCTTCTTGTGTGCGTATAATATTCTCGATTAACATTAACGTTTTGGATAATTATTTAGATTAATTTTGATAATTATTAAATTGATCATTAATTATCATATTCTAAATCAAGTTCTTTTTATTTATGCTAAAATTAAATATGGGTGCAGACAATGGGAATGGCTGTAATGCTGGATGTAATAATAAACTACATCAGGTCACTCCAGAATCAGATTGATGTATGTTTACTAATTTTGTTTTTTTTTTTTGAAATTTCATTATTTAATTTCTATTTTTTTCAGGAGAAACAAATTGTTGTTCAATTTATATCACACCCTTCATTTATTGGGAATTTAATTACTAATGAATTATCTACTTATTGTTATGATTTTATAGTTTCTTTCCATGAAACTCTCAGCAGCAAGTTTGTTCTATGACTTCAATTCTTCAGAAATGGATGCATTGGACTTGGTACATCAGGTGCACCTTCCATATTTAAAATTTCTTCTTCTTTCCCTTTTACTAGTTTCATTGATAAAAATTAAAGCCAAAAATCATTATATATACTTAGTACGAAGTACCATAATAGCTTTACGGAGTAGTAAATAATGGATGTCACACTTCAAACAACATGTAAAGTTCATCACCTGTAAATTGGTATAGAATTATAAAGTCAAAAAATTCTACTCCGTATAAAACAAGAAGTGACAATTTTATCAAATTATCAATGAAAACATACAAACAAACAAAAGTTACCGAGAGGCTATAATAGTAACACTAGTATCCATTTTGGGACAGGGGAAGTACTTATCTTTCCAATCTCCAACATCCATCTATGATCAAAATTATCTTTCTTTATATTACTAAAAATTACTCTATATTCAAAAATGAGTTGTGATTTCGGGCATGTTTGGGAATAGCGTTAGAGTTTAGCATTAGCGTTTTAAAAAATTATCTACGGGCTGCGTTTTCAAAGTAATCTAGACTGTTGAAATTTTATCCAACGCTGACGGTAATCTCTAACGTCCCAAACATGCCATTCATGATCCCAAATCCACATGCTGTGTGTGTGTGTGTGTGTGTATGTATGTGTGTGTGTATGTGTGTATGTGTGTGTGTGTGTGTATGTCATGATCATATTTTGTTGGTTTAATTATTGTAGGGAACAAGTCTTTATGAAGCTCAAGAGATGGGAAAAGGTGTTTTTGAAGGGTGTGGAGCATTTCCACCCCAATTTCAAACGCCTAATTGGCCTCTTTAATTCTACTTTATGGCTCTTCATCAATTCCGCTCCTCTCCATCACTAGCTATATATAGATATAGATAGATAGAGACTACATTTATATACACACTAATGTATACTAGTATGAAATAAATAACGTATTGAATTTTATGTAATTTAAGTCTTTGACAACATTGTACAATAAAAGTAATATTCTCTCCGTACAATTTGTGAATTCGTCCAATTTGATTTTTTCAAATCAAATAGGATGAACTTTAAACATTAATTATTTTTAATCTAGTAACTAAAAAAAAGTTAATCTAATTTATGTTGCATATTAATACAATAAATAAAATTTTTAATAGTTATCAATAAAATAACACTATTGATATAATTCTTATAGTAAAATACATCTTTAATCATTATCAAAGGTAGATTTATATCATTTTGGACCTAAGTACAATATTACAAATGCAACAATTGATGATTGTTATTGGGATTAAATTTAGAAAATTTCGTTCATATTTTTATGAAAAACTAAAACATTTTTTAGCAATGTCTTAAAATTAGAATTAAACACGTTTTTTACTCTATATATTAATTTTGAAATTAGAAAAAATGAATTCATGTTTTTCTATTTTAATTATTTCTAAGAAAAATAGAAGCATTTTGAATTGAGAAACAAACCGTAATTCGTTAATCATGGACACTGCACATAGCCTGTTATTAGTACTTGGGCCTATTTCACTGAAATAGAATATCCATTTAAGCGGCCTAATAATCACACCAAACAGGCCCATAAATTTAAACAATACGAGGGCACAGCCTGGCCCAAAGAGTCCATTCGAGGGCATCTATCAGCAACGGCCCATCATCATCATTTTCTCATTTACGAGGTAGGAACCCTACATTTTCTAAAATTAATAAATTTAAAAATTGGTATGAGAATAATCAATAAACATATTTAAAAATTATGTCTAAAGTTTTCCAAAATAAAATGTTGCGTCTTATAGCACCTATACAAACATAAGAAAATTTTGACAATATTGATGTCATTTATTGAATTTCACATTATTTATGTAAAAATGTAACATTGTATGTAAGAGTAATATTGTGAAGTTTTCCATTCTAGATTGTATATGAGCATGCATGAAGCACATGGTTAAAACCAATATACTATTCGAGTATGTACTTAGCTAATATGAGAATTATACGATTGTTATCCATCGCTTCGTTAATCAAGTTCAAGTAGTTTAATCAATTAAGAGAAACATTATATTGATATAGGAAGTATATATGACTCAATGATAGCATCCTAATTAAGATGGTGTTTGATAGTGCATTGCTTTGCTTTGGTGGTAGGTGTTCTATCCCGATTGACATGCCTTTTTTCCATCATTATTTTACACATATGAGACTTGTCTAGAGAAGTAGCTATACACACTTTTCCTTTCAATTACTCGTATTAGACCATGTGGTATGAGGCGTATTGGGATAAACACATGCAAACACAACACACAAAATTATGAATCAACTGCATAAATAAACGGCACGGGATTTAACGTAGTCCAGTCACCAACTACAACCTACACCACACGGGCAACTATGGTGATTTTATTTTTTTGTTGTGGCACACCAAGATTACAAGCACATAAACATCTCTTAAATATGGATTATTAAGGGGAAACTATAATTAACTATGGCTTGAAGCTTCCAGATCGTTTCCTGCCAATTTCTTGTTGGCTTCCACCAAGCTTTCTAGCTTCACACTCAACAAGGCGTAAGGAGAGAGGCGGGATCCTTCTTTGCGCACCATCACACCCAAAGTGTTGCGCGGCCTAGGCGTAGGTTCAGTTTTGGCGGTTCGGTTTTCACCCAAAACCAAAGAAAACGGAAGGTAAATTGGCGGTTTGGTTAGGTTTGGTTTTGCATAAAAAATATGTAAACCGTTGGTTATTCGGTTCGGTTTTATACGGTTTTTATTTCGGTAAAACAATAACAATATGTAGTGTTAACTTTGATAAAATTCAACAAGCATTAAAAAATTGTAAAAAACACTAACTCGATAAAACAATAACAATATGTAGTGTTAACTTTGATTTTTTGTTTGATTTTTACACAAACACAAAAACCAAACAGAAGGTTATTGTTTCTTTTAGTTCAATTTTACATAAAAAAATATGTGTTGAATGCCCAACAAACATTTAGAAGATTCCAAATACTTCTAAAAACATCGTATGTAAAGTCAATTACGAAGATTTTTTTTGTATAATATTTTCATTTTCATTATAACATCAAAGTATTTTTTATGTAAATATGTAAATTACGTGTATCAATTTTTAATCTTAATATAATTCTATATTAGGATTACTATTGGTGTTTATATATATTCTTAAGTTTTTTTTAAAGTTTATAATAATATGGCTAGAATGTTTAATTTATACATTAGAAATTAATTTCAATCGACTAGTAATTTATTTGCATTTATATTTCTATAATTTTTCTACATATCACATATGTTCATATAAATAAAGCGAAGTATCTAAGAAAGTTCGGTTTATTCAATTCGGTTCGGTTTTTTAAAGTGAAAACCAAAACGGAACCAAACACTAACGATTTGGTTCGGTTTTTTTACATTTGATTTTGGTTTTTTCGGTTCAATTTTTTTTATAGCTCGTTTCGATCGATTTTGATGCAGTTTGCGGTTTTCGATTTTTCCAACCCAGCCCTAGCGCGGCCTTCCCCATGAAGAGGGCGCGATCCTAGGGGGTATGGCCCCCATCATGGCGTTGTGCGGGCTTGTGTCTATCATTAAGTGCTGAACTATTCAGACATCTGAACCATTAAGAGGCTGAAACAAACAGTCCCTTACACTTTAACCAACGAGAACAATTCACACCTTCAAACCTCGTCACATCCCTTCACACCAATCGTATCACAACTATTTATATCACTTCATATCATACCGATTTACACCTATCAAGTTTTATCAAGTTTTTGAGTTTACTTGGTCGGCCAGTCCTTTCGCTTTAAAACCATAAGTGAAAAACGGGTGAGAGAAAACGATCGAACAAGTCAACGGAAAAACGAAGTCTTTCCCCTTCTTCTCCGTCCATTCTCCTGTCTTCTTCTTTGTGTGAATTCAATGAGAGAAAAATAAAAAAACAGAGCCATTCCATTATACTTCCTCCCTCCCAAATTATTTGTCACATTTCTATTACCGAGGCAAAATATCAAGTTTTTTCAATTCATTTTATTTACATATTGGTAAAGAAATAAAAAATAAAAATTACATATCAAAAAACTACATGAAAAATTCTTCGAAATAAGAGGTGTTAAGAATATTTTATTTTATCAAATAACCAATGAAAACGTTGAAATAAACAAAAATTCTCGCGACTGCTGAAAAAGCAAATGTTGTGAATATTTAGACACGGAGGGAGTATATATATATGTGTGTGTGTGTGTGTATGTATGTATGTATAGTCTCTTCCCCAGTCATAATTTTTTTTTCAAACCACCTTTTCGAGCTATGGGAAATTGCTGGCCAAAGCAGATAGCCGCCACCACGAGTTCTGTCAACGCCAGCTCGCCGCCGCCTTCTTCCAAGAAGAAAGGCGGCGGAGGTGGTGGCGGCCACCGCGAGGTGGTCCCACCAAGTGGGAGAATACTGGTGCCAAATTTGAAGCCTTTCACTTTGGGGGAGCTGAAGAGTGCCACGAGGAACTTCAGGCCGGACAGTATACTGGGAGAGGGAGGGTTCGGGAGGGTGTTTAAGGGCTGGGTTGACCCTAATAAGGACTATGCGCCCTCCAGAGCTGGGGTTGGTGTCCCAGTTGCAGTCAAGAAATCCAATCCGGATAGTGAACAGGGATTGAAGGAATGGCAGGTAAACTAATCAAATTTCATTTTGGCTTTTGATTCTTAATTAATTAATTAATTAATCAACCTCATAATTATGCATATGCTTATTGACTTGTGTATCTCATTGTTACCATATAAAAAGTCTCTTCTCACCTTACAATTAATTACTCTCTCGTCCCAAAATATTTTTCCTAATTGAAAGAACTGTATCTTATAAATATGTAATTTTGGTGTTGTTTTCTAATTATCCAAGTATAATTCATTTACCGTTTATATCCTATCCTATTATAAGATAACGATAAAATTAGAAAGTAATACAAAATTATACATTTTAAGACTTTTTTTTGAAAAAAAATGTTTTAAGGGGGCGAGGGAGTTAAAATTGAGTTTTTGATTGAGTTGGTTATTTCTTGAAATTATACTCCCTCCATCTCATAAAACCTTTCTACTTTCTTTTTTCATTCGTCCCATAAAACACTTCTCATTTCTATTAAAAAGTCACTTTTACCTCTTACTTTTTCATACCCTACCTATCACATCATACCTTTTTACTAATAATATACCCATCAAATCCTACTTTTACCCTTCACATCAAAGGACATTTTTTGGAAATTCAATACCAAAATACACTCTCTTAAATCTCTTCAAAAAGCAAAACATCCCATGTTTCATGGGACGGAGGGAGTATCAGAGTCCTGTTGACCAAGACATCACAAGTTCAAAACTCACGACCTCGTTGTTTTTCGGAAAAAAAGTTTTAGTAGTCAACTTTTTAAATTCTCCATAACCACTTAGGTATTTTCCAAACAGCCGATTCTTAAAACACGGTTAAATAATTCTAAAATTGATGAATCCTGAGAATAGAATTAGCCAAAAAGAAAAAACAAAACAAATATGTTGAAATAAGATTAAAATATTGAAGTTATTCAGAAAATAAGATTTCCATGGAGTATCATTTATTTCCAAAATAGAATCATTGAAATGTGACAATAAACACAATTTGACATTATGTATTTACATTTTATATTATTTGTTTTTTTTTTGAATTATATGTTGACATTATTAATATTATAAAAAAAATTGATTCTAAAAATTTAAGCCTAAAATATGAAATCAGAACTTGAATTTTGAAAATTAAAGTAAAGAATGATTGCAAATCTAATTTCTTGTTATGTTTCATAAAATACCAAACAAAGAGTTGTACTCACTCCCTTCACCTCTTACTAGTCCATTTTTACGTACAAAACCTCTTGTTTTAAAATAATTTTATTTAAAAATTGGTATAAAAATAAAAGGTAAATTTACATATTTAAAAACTACATAAAAATTCTACAAAATAAGTGGTGACAAAAATATTTTATTTTATCAAATACTCTGTAACTAATAAAAATACACACAAACAAAAGTTATAGAACATCTCTAAATAATAAACAGGAAGAGTTTCGATGAACGGATGGAGCTTGGAATATTGGAAAATATCATACTTCCTCCGTCCCAATTTTGATTACAATTTTTCTTTCTCGTTCATTTTTGTCTATTTGTGTGTTTTTATTGATTATTTCATAAAATAAAATATTTCTTATCACTAATTATTTTGTCAGACTTTTAAGGTAGTATTTTAGTTTATAATTTTTATTTTTGATTAATGTAACAATTTATAAATAAAATGATTTAAAAAATACCCTCTCAAATTCAATTTTTAATACTCGGATACTCCGTATTTTCTCCGTGTTAGAAACGGGCCTACGTATAATCAAACAAAATGGGTGACCTGGGTCTTGCATAAGTGATACGCGATAAAAGAAAAGTCAAAATCTTGTACTCAAATGTTTTTGTGTTTCTTTTTTTTGTAAAAATATATACTCACTCTGTCCCGTGAAACATTTCTCCTTTCTTTTTTTATCCGTCCCACAAAACACTTCTCATTTCTATTAAAAAACTACTTTTACCCCTTACTTTTTCATACCCTAACTATCACATCATACCTTTTTACTAATAATCTATCCACCAAATCATACTTTTACACATCACATCAAAGGACATTTTTGGAAATTCAATACCAAAATACACTTCCCTTAAATCCCTCGTAAAAAACAAATGTCCCATGTTTCACGAGACGGAGGGAGTACTAAAGTCTGTTACATTTCTATTAAAAACTACTTTTGCCCCTTACTTTTTTTTAATGTCCTACCTATCACACTATAGTACTCCCTCCGTCCCAAAAAGATTAGTACATATTGACTTTTTGGGAAATTAAGCGAGAGATATTTTGGTGTTGACTTTCCAAAAATACACTTGATGTAATGGGTAAAAGTAGGATATGATGAGTAGATTATTAGGAAAAAAGTATAGTGTGATAGGTAGGACATTAAAAAAAAGTAAGGGGTAAAAGTAGTTTTTAATAGAAATGTAACAGACTTTACGGGACCCAGTTTTTTCGAAACGTGTCAGACTTTTTGGGACGGAGGAAGTATTAAAATAATATTCAGTGAGAGTGGATATCTAGTGTCAACATAATACTTAAAATTTATGTGGTGGCGGAAACAATATCCAGTGATAGTGAACATTTACTTTGAATAATGTATATAGTGATGGTGAACATTTTTTTGAACATATAAAAATTACGTAGTAAAACATATAGTGTTATATTGAATAACTTACTATGTTTTATTTAGTACTACATAATATTTTTTTGTCAATATAATACTAAAAATTTATCTGGTGGCGGAAACAATATCTAGTGACAGTGGACATTTACTTTGAATAATGTATATAGTGACGGTGAACATTTTTTTGAACATATAAAAATTAAAACATATAGTATAAAATATTCTTGTCACCACTTCTTTTGTTGAACTTTTGATGTAGTTTTTAAATATGTATGTTTTATTTTTTATTTCTATACCAATATTTAAATAAAATAGATTGAAAAAATTTGGGATTTTTCTTCGTTTTGCGCAACGGGAAGAAAGTTTTAGGAAAGAGTGAGTAGATGTAATAACTTTTTAATAATTAATCTCATTAAATAAAAAAATTATGAAGCATATAATATAAAAAAATCTTCAAAAAATAATAAATTAATAATGTTTATAATAAAATCTTGCAAAAAAACAATCTTCTGAAATACAAACTAGGTAAACATTACTCCAGGGTAGAAAATAGAACAAACTTATGGACCCAACAAAAGTAATATTTTCAATAATAATTTTCTTAATAGTAAAAATGGATGTGTCAGGAAATGGATCAGGTAACGGGTGAGAAATATCTCCACCCTCATCCAACCCGATCCATCATTATTTCATCCATCATCCATCCATCATATTTTTTTCTGATTTTTATCCATGAGAGCGGGCCGAATGGATCGATACTTTTTCCTTCAGGTCGGGTAGATATTGTCATCCTTACTCAAATAGTATACCAGAGAAATGATAAATGAAAACATCAAAGGATTAGTTAATAATGTTAGAGACATGATGTATTAGAGTATAAAATTATGATCCCTAAATAGGAGTAATAAATTGTGAAAATATCAAAATATGAATTATAAGTGTTTTAAAACCAAACTAAGACTTTATATTGTCATTGTTAAACTCTCATACTCACCATATTGTCACATTGTAAACTGTCACATTATCACCGCCACACTACCATCTGCACCGCCGGTCACCAGAATGCCGCCATGGATTACTGACAATTGACTAATCACATTGATATATTACATTGTCATCACTTTTCTATCACACTATCAACACGTAGTCTTACTCCACGGTGTCATTGTACTTCTATTTTGGTCTTAAAAGCCTTGACACTCTTAGTTTTGATATTTTCATACTTTTTTGTCATATTTAGAGAGATTTCTTTTAAAAATTCTTCCTCACTATCTCTATTTGAAAAAAAATCTTTTATTCTATAATACTTCCTCCGCCCAAAATTAAACCTTTTTATTTTCTTTTTGGGTTGAACCTAATTAATCTTCATCTTTCTTTCTTTGGAATGTTTTTTGTGACTCACTTTTTCTTCTTTCCACTACATTACTTTCAACTACCCAATTTTACATTTTCTTAAACTCAGTGCGAAATCAAAGTAGAAATAGTATTAATTTGGACGGATGGAGAGAGTATTATATGTTTATACATACTTTCTTAATCTATCGAAGCACATAGAGTCTATATATCAAGAAACTAATTCAACAAGAAGCTCAAGTTTATGGTTGTGGCTCAGGAAATAATTTTATATTCTCTAACAAGCCACCTCACTTGTAGGCGTGACTTATTTGATCCTTGCAGACTGGCAATGAGGTTCGGACTCACGACCTCTTAGTTAACAAGACTTTGGTATCATGTCAGAAAATCAATTTAACTAGAAACTCAAGCTTGCGGTTGTAGTTTAGGAAATATTTTTATATATACTCACATAGAGTCAACACACCTACTGGAGTTCGAATCTATGCGAGCTTTGCATTTAAAACTTAATATTTTAGTTGGGTTGACTTTAAATGATATTAAAGCGATGTTAACCTATCCTTATCACTACTTAATTTTGAAGAATTAATTTCACGTGCAATGTTCGAGAAAAAAAATAAAATTTGACTACATGTTAATAAAAGGGCGAATTAGAGTAGAAATTTTTTTCATTTGCCTACGACTATAAATTTGAGCATTTGGTTAAATTTGACCAGAAAAGAAAGTACATTATATTGTAGTGTGAGTTTTTTTCTTTGGTATCTCAATAGTAACAATTGTTCCTCCAAAAAAAGGTTTTGACAATCTTGTATAGTCACATTCTATCTCTTTCTCATTGTAACAAGAACAAAATAAAGCGTACACATTATTGTGTTCCATTATTAATAATTAAGGTTGGGATTATTGGAAACAATCAACAGGCAGAAGTGAAATTCTTGGGGAAATTTTCTCACCCAAACCTTGTCAAGCTTTTTGGGTATTGTTGGGAGGAGAAGCAGTTTCTTCTTGTTTATGAATACATGCTCAAGGGCAGCTTAGAAAGTCATCTTTTCCGAAGTAAGTAACCCAAACTCTCTCCTTTTATTTTATATTAATCCTCCCTTCCACTCTTGGCTTTTATGAAATTTGCACTAAATTACACTAAAATATACTCCCTCTGTTCCAAAAAGAATGAGACAGTTTGACTTTTTAGGAAATTAAGGGAGGGATATTTTGGTATTGACTTTCCAAAAATACCCTTGATGTGATGAGTAAAAATAGGATGTGATGGGTAGATTATTAGAAAAAAAGGTATGATGTGATAGGTAGGGTATGAAAAAGTAAGGGGTAAAAGTGGTTTTTTAATAGAAATGTAACGGATTTTACGGGACGCAGTTTTTTCTAAACGTAACAAACTTTTTTTGGGACGGAGGGAGTATTTCTTTTCCCAATGTAGTACGTAAACGTTTTTATTCCTTAAATAGTACTTGAATAATGTCTAGTGTCAGGAACAATATCCAGTGATAGTGGACATTTAGTTTGAACAATGTCTAGTGGCGGTGGATATTTACTTGAACAATGTCCAGTGATACTACATTGAGAAATAAAACATATGGTATTACATCGAAAAATCACTATGTTTTAGTACTATTTAGGTAAGTTCTCCTTTCATACGGAGTAAAACGGTTCATATTTTTACTTTTAGTAGAAATAAGGAATGTGTATTTGTGGTTGACTTTCCAATTTTGCTTTTAATGTGATGGGTAAAAGTAAGATGTAAAAGCATATGGTACTATATCAAAAAAACCACTATGTTTTAGTACTATTTAAATAAATTTTTCTTTCATATTGGTTTCTATTTTGATTTTTAGGAGAAATAAGGAATGTATATTTGTGGTTGGCTTTCCAATTTTATCTTTGATGTAATGAGTAAAAATAAGATGTGATAGATAAATTATTAGTAAAAAAGTATCATGTGATAAGTAGGATACGAAAACATAGGGATAAAAGTGATTTTTTTAATAAAAAATGGTAGTGTTTTGGGAAAAACACAAAAGTGAAAGAAGAAGTGTTTTAAAAAACGAAGGGAGTATTTCTTTAATAATGCTCTTTAAGTGTGCATGATAATTCATTAAAATAATGTTTAAATACCATTATTACTAATTAAGAGAAGGGAGGAGAACCACTTTCTTGGGATACAAGGCTGAAAATTGCCATAGGAGCTGCCAAAGGACTTGTTTTCTTGCACAACACAGAGAGAAGTGTCATCTACAGAGATTTCAAGGCATCCAACATTTTACTTGATGGGGTAATTAACAACTTCCATTTAATTAAATTTTGATACCCTTACAAAATTTATTTATATATGAGGCTGGTTTAATTTGGTTGGATACTTGGATTATACTCGCTTTGTCCTAAATTAATATGAGACGTATGGAGTATTTACTAAATAAGGAAATCGGATTGATTTGTAGGAGTTTAATGCAAAGCTTTCTGATTTCGGGTTAGCCAAATTTGGTCCGATCGATGGTAACTCGCATGTTACCACCAACGTTGTTGGCACGTACGGTTATGCAGCTCCCGAGTATATGTCCACAGGTTGTGTGATTTCTTAAATACTCCCCTCTCCAAAAAAATATTTATTCAATTTGTTTTTTACGGAATTTATAAAAATTATTAAAAAATGAAAATTGTATGTTTAGATTTTATTTAGATGAGAATGAGATAGGAATCTTGTGAGGCAAATATTTATTACTAAAAAGGAAATAGAGAAAGTAAGAAGTTTCCCATGATTCACAACTCGAAATCTCACTAACCCCGTTACCGCAAAAAACTGCTACTGGGTACCCTTTAGTTTGTAATAATGACTGTCGAGTATCTCTAAATTTTAAAATATATTACAAGGTACCTTACGATATTGAAAAACTTACTCGTATGTGATTTTTCATCCATCACTCCGTTTCACTAAAAAAATGGAAGGTACTTACCCGACAATCATTATTGCAAAATAGAAGATACTTAACAGTAATTTTTTTTGCCATTAGGGTGTAAATATTTTAAATGAGCTATTTCGTTATTGGGCTTTAGTATGCTGTAGTTAGGGCTCCAATATAGCAACGCCTTGGTAGGCCGTAGGGTTTCCTAAACATTTAGAGGAACAAGAACTAGGTACATGAAGGGCTAATAATTATGGGCCGCCCCAGGATAAAGCCCCTTAGACCACTGCCCAACTTATCTTCCCCTGGGCCGCCCTGGACCAAAACTAATGGTAGCACGTCCGTTCTAAAGATTTCTAATGCTCGTGGCGATTCGCTAGTTAAATTTCTTTTTTTGATAAAAATTGAATGCAATAAATATAATAATGAATGTTTTGTATATAAAGAAACAATATAAATAAAGAAGTAAAAGTACCCTAAGTGACACTAGTTGAGAATTGTGTCGGTAACTTGACATTCAAATGCGTGAATATAGTTTTAGTAGCAATCTGGTACAATAATTTTCTATCTTCAAATAAACATGAAGATATATAAGTTAAAAAAATATTTTTTGGACTTGAAAATTTATTTCTAGGTTACTCATAACGCCCACCCCGACCTCCCTCAGGTCCAGTCCTGAATGGTAGTAATTTGTTGTTATATACCACCTCTGTTCTAAAATGCTCTTTTCATTTACTATTCACACGGTCACTTTTTTTACTTATTTTCGTTAGTTATTTGATGAAATAATATCATGCTTGTCACATCTTGTTTTGTAGAAGTTTTGATGTAATTTTTAAATATATAAATTTTATTTTTAGTTTCACATCTACAATCAAATAAATCGAAAGAAAAGTTAGTCAAACCTCATAAATAGAAACGGGAAAAACGTTTTACGACGGAGGAAGTCTTTTTATTTTAGTGCACTTGTTATATTCTTGGTTCTACCGTTCTTATTCTTTTGAGTCACCCTTAGAGGTGTCATTAACAAATATATTTATTGCATATAAACAAAACTTTGCAGGTCATTTGTACATAAAGAGTGATGTTTATGCATTTGGAGTAGTACTACTCGAAATGATATCAGGCTTGAGGGTTCTTGATTTGGGCCGAGAACCCGGTAAGCACGATTTGGTCGAGTGGGCCAAACCCATATTACCCAATAAAAGGAGTTTGAGGAGATTATTAATGGATCCTCGTCTAGAGCAAATGTACCCTATTGAGAGTGCTTGTCAAATAGCTCATCTCATACTAAAGTGCCTTGAGCAAGACCACAAGTTTAGACCTAATATGGATGAGGTTTTAGAGACACTTGAAGGGATACAACAAAAAGGTGGGAAGAAAAAACCCAAGGACCAAAATGCTAAAGCTAAACATCACCACAACGAGCAACGCCGCCAGTGATCGTCCCCTCTCCTGACCAACCACGGACATATCAGCCTCGGGGTTGCTGATCGTCAGAAAAATCAAAGCTATTGATCGAATAGTTCTACCTCCATTCATTGTTAACTGTCTCTATTATGAATTTTATGATACATTAAAAAATGGATGAATGTAGACATAGTGTATGTCTATATTCGTTCTGATTCAGTTTGATAATAATTGATCTTATTGAATAATTAAAGTTTCATATCTAAAATCTAAATCTAGAACTCATGTTTCATGTGAAGTAAGTTTTAATTCCTAGCATCAAGTTCACAAGTTTCTTATTCTCCAAAACATGTTACAGACATTTCTCCGTTGTTCTTGATAATATCTTCCTTACATCTAACGGTCGCATTGTTATTTAATTTTGACCTCGGTATAATTGTTCTTGTATCTCTCAAGCTTTTTTTGGGTATTTTTTCACTTTGAACGACGATTGTTGTGATTTTGTGTTCCAAGTTAGTGGTTTGATACACTCTATTATGGGTGTAGGTACCTGACCGGCTTCCAAAAAGTCGGGCTTGGGCATGTATTATTTAGAGAACATTATTGGTTGTGCTAATTGAATTTTGGAGAATACTAGAAAAGTTTGATATTGTGTTTACGATCCCGTGAATTCTTTCCGATATAGAGTTTTTTTTTTATTTTGGACTTCTTGGTGTTCATTTATAGTTTAGTTCAATATATTTTGATGTTTTAATAATGTTGTTCCGTTATACTCCCTCCGTCCCAAAAAGATTTACACGTTTCAAAAAAATTGTGTCCCACAATCCCTTACCCATTTCTATTAAAAAACCACTTTTACCTCTTACTTTTTCAAACCCTACCTATCACATCATACCTTTTTCCTAATAATCTACACATCACATCCTACTTTTACCCATTACATCAAGGGTATTTTTGGAAAGTCAACACAAAATTATCCCTCCCTTAATTTCAACTTTAGTCAAAATGAGTAACACTTTATGAGACGGAGGGAGTATGATTTTATGTATTTTAGTAACTCAAACAATTTACTAACTCTGGAATATAATACAAAACTTTTCTACTGACTTGAGTCCCAGAAAGTCCACTTCTTATGATTCATGTTCACCCAGGTTCGAGCCAAACAGAAGTAGAAGTTTTGGCTTTTTGTGCGTCATTAACACTAAAAAAAATCAAATTCCCGAGACATACTACCATTTATTAATTTTTATTCACAATATAATTCTAAACAATCTCACTCACGATGACTAAAAAAATCAAATTCCAGAGACATACTATAATTTATTAGTTTTTATTCATAATAAAATTCCGAACAATTTCACTCACAATGAACCTGGTCTTGATACTTTGACTAAATACAAACTAGTTTAAAATAATTAGAAAAGTATTAGTGGTCTTGATACTTCGAATTGAATTGCCTCAATTAATTTTGGTTGACTCGAATAAAACCCCATTTTAAATTAAGGAAATAATTATGTTCTTAATATATTATTATAAATAAATTAAAGAAAAAAGAATTCAATTTTTTATTTGCCTCCCAACAGCAATGATAAATTTTAATATTGGTAAAATTGGTGTATACGCGTTTGTATTTTTTTTATTCATAATAATATTAATATTAATGAAAATTCGCCCGTGCACATGAAAATGCTTTAAAAGTTTACAATTGTCATTGTACGAGGCCCATCTTCCAAGAGGGCCCAACTGGGGGAAGCGGTGCGCTCCTCACCAAGAACCGAGTAGTATTCTTAATTGGGCCCAGGTTTGGACACGGTGCCGGTACGATCTCGTTTGATCCTCGAACTGTTGATCCCGAAGTCAGTTTAGAAAGCGTGAAATTGTCAAACTGTTGCATTGGAGATCAAAAAAATCAAATACAAAATTCTTTTCTGAATGGAGTGAGTAGTTAATAAACATAATTTTGTTTTTTTATATAATTCCTCTGTGCTAAAAAGATGTGCCTATTTTGACTTAAGAAATTTATAAGAGGAATATTTTGTATTGACTTTTCAAAAATACCTTTAATGTGATGAATAAAGTAGAATGTAATGTGTAGATTATTAGTAAAAAGATATGATGCAATAGACATGTTAAGAATTAGTAGGGGTAAAAGTAATTTTATAATAGAAATGAGAAATATTTTGTGGGACAAGTAAAAAAAGAATTCAAAGGAGTTTTTAGAATGGAGACAACATCATTTTCCAGGTAGAATTGCATTTTATTTCGTAATTTTCTCCCTTAGTTTTGTTTGGGGAAGGTGGTGGTACATTGTTTTGTGATTTTGTTAAGGAAATATCTCAACAAAAAGCTCCATCTTGCGGCTATATGTTTAGAAAAGATTTTGTACTCTAACACACTTTATCACGTGCATGAGAGAATTGTTTTGTCCGAACCTTACACATAAGTACTCCTTTTGACGTCCCAAAATAAGATTTCTCATTTAGTTTGATACAAAATTTAAGAAAAAGTAAAATTGTGTGATTAAAAATGATACAGAGAGAGAAAAGATTGTGAGCCACATAAAATTTTTTCAAAACTAGAAAGAATAGTTTTTTTTGGACTCCCCAAAAAAGAAATAAAGACTCATTTTTGGGATAGATGATGTTAGCATATAAATAACTGTTTTTGGGCCACAATCACAAGTTTAAGCTTTTGGTTGAGTTATTCCTTAACATGGTATCATAGCCTCGTTGACTAAGAGGTCATGTGTTCGAAACTCAGCACCACCCAGTTTAAAAAAATTATGGTTTCACGTGGAAGGCCCGAAAAAGACTACGCTTGCACGTGAGGGAGCGTGTTAGAATATAAATAACTATTCCCTGTGCCACAACCACAAGCTTAGGCTTTTGGTTGAGTTGGTTCCTTGACAGATGGAGCATTAATTTCTTAAAATAGGGTAGCGATGAGATACAAATTCATGACCTTTAAATCAATAAAACTCTGATACCACGTAAAATAACTCATTAAACCAAAATGTCAAACTCAAGCTTAGAAAATTTAGAATTATAAATTTTACATTCGGTATAAGCGTTAGAATAGAGATTCATATATGCCATTCCAAATTCATAAAAACAAACCTACCTTTTTTAATTTTACACACAAAAAAATGTGGATGTAAAATCATGTCCCATAGACAAGACCAATAATGTGACCATATATGTGAAAATGGACATGTCTTTGTCCGAAGAGGAAAGGGAAGTTTGGCGCTCTGTTGACCTCAAATTTTTAATACACAAAATAATGTAAGGTTGGGTTTGAACCCATTGGGGATTTGCCCATACCCAATGCGAGTGAGGAAGCTTGCGGTCACTTTCCACACCTGACCTCCTCATTCATTCATTCATAAACTGCTGCAGGTAGGAGGTGATCAATGAGCACAGCTTTTTGGCCCTCTTCCCCCTCATGATTTTGGGGCCACTCATTTCTATACATTTCCTCTCTTCTTCTTCTTCTTTTTTTTTTGAAGATGAAGCCCATCCCTTAGGCCCCCCCCCCCCACCCCCTGAGTCTTATAAAAGAGTACATGCTGGTGGGCGTTGCGCAGTTAATCAGGCAAGGAGTGTCAAGGGAGTAAGACCCGAGTTTGATTCCTGGCAACTGCGCTGGGAGGAAGTTATGCTAAACATAAGGCCTTTACAAATACCAGGTGCAAGCTCCACTCTTTGCCATCAATCTGCAGCGAAAGTCCAATTTACCCCCTCTCAGTGACCGTCCGGCCGGGTCTGAAGGGAACCTCGGAGATGGGGCTCATCATTTTTTTTAAATAAAAGAGTAAGGGGCTGTTTGGCAACTTCTGAATAGGTAAGTGCTGAACCAGTAAGAGGTCTGAACCATTAAGTGCTGAACCAGTAAGAGGTCTTAACCATTAAGAGCTAGTATATTGTTTAACTATTCAGAGACAAATGTCTGATCAATTCAGATAAGAGGTCTTAACCATTCAGACTCTGTATAATACTTAGGGGCTGTTTGTTTCAGCCTCTTAATGGTTCAGATGTCTGAATGATTCAGCACTTAATGGTTCAGACTGTTTGTTTCAGCCTCTTAATGGTTCAGATGTCTGAATGGTTAAGAGATTTGCCTCTGAATGGTTAAGTATTATACAGAGTCTGAATGGTTAAGAGCTGTTATCTGAATTGATCAGACATTTGCCTCTGAATAGTTAAGCAATATACTAGCTCTTAATGGTTCAGACCTCTTACTGGTTCAGCACTTAATGATTCAGACCTCTTACTGGTTCAGCACTTACCCATTCAGAAGTTGCCAAACAGCCCCTTAACCATTCAGAGGCAAATCTCTTAACCATTCAGACATCTGAACCATTAAGAGGCTGAAACAAACAGTCTGAACCATTAAGTGCTGAACCATTCAGACATCTGAACTATTAAGAGGCTGAAACAAACAGCCCCTAAATCGCAAGATCTGCCTCAACTGTCAGGAGATAATAGGCTTGTCACGGCTAATCTCACTATACAAGGGGTTGAATTCAAAGAGTTGTTTCTAATGTTCGAAAACGGGGCACTCAATGAGCCGCTAACAAGGCTCACCCAATTCAGCAAGGTTCTTTTTTCTTAAATTTAAATGGTTTCTTTACAATACATTTAGGATATGCGGCTTATAAATTTAAAATTAATTTTTTAATATTGGTCTAAAATTTAAAATAAAAATTTATATATATTTTGAAGACGCATAAACAAATCTAAAAAATAAGAAATGAAATAAGTGTATGCTCTACATTAGTTTATCAAATGATAGAGGAAATAGTTTGGCCGCATAAATAATAATGGAAAAGAATCCAACGAGACAGAAGTGATACAATTTGATAATAAGTGTTTTTAAATAATGAAGATTATATTAGTATATTTCTTATTTTTAGTAACTGTAAAATTAAAGTGAGCAAGTTAATTTGCGACGAAGGGACTCGAGGGAGTGTAGAAAAATAACAAAGAAATAAACCTATATAGGAAAAAATATTAAACTTATAATAAAACTTTTCCCACTTCCTTTTTTATCCATCATATAATAATTTTCTAAGCTTTTCTAATTCATGTTTTTAAAAAACAACAAAAATTCCAAAATATTCACTTTTTTGTAAATAAATTTTAATCCCTCAAATTTAACTTTTAAACATATTTTTAAAATATTTTTAACATTTTCTTAATCTCTGAAAAATAAAAATCAGCAAATTAATTTGGGATGAAGGGACTCGAGGGAGTGTAGAAAAATAGTTAAGAAATCAACTTAAATACAAAAACATTAAACTCATACCGAAATAGGACCTTGTTTCTATATTTTAATTCTCTAAACATAACAATTATTTGTGCAATGTTGCCACCACATGGCACTATGACTGTGTTTGGAAAATAGCTTTTCGAATAGCTTTTGGCATCTTTGACTGATTTTGGATTTTTTTGACTTATCGAACCACCACAACCATTGTTTGGCTAATGGCTTTTTCACTTGGCTTTTTGATCCGAAATGCCAAAATCTGAAAATCCAAGGGGAGTAGCTTTTGAACTTGGCTTTTAGAAAAAAAATATTTTTAAATAATTTTGCTTGAAAGATATTTTATAATATATGTAAAAAAAATAAAAATAAAAGTTAAGAAAATCCAAAAATTTAAAAAAAAGTAAATTTTTAATTTTTAATTTTCAAAAAAAGATATGAGAAAATCAAAAGAAAAAATAATTAAAAAGTTATATATTGATAATTTCTTATAAATTATATGAAATTGAAATTTATGCTCCACATATTAACAATATAATTGTAACATGTACAAAAATAAAAAACAAATATTATGTCTCTCTCTCTCTCTCTCTCTCTCTCTCTCTCTCTATATATATATATATATATATATATATATATATATATATATATATATATATATCCTAGAAAGGAGCCATTAAATTTATGTGTGTGTGTGTAAAACATATGAGGTCCAAATTTATCATTAAATTGGGTCTTATTAATTTTATTTTATTAAATTAAAGTTGATCTACTTTGATTCAAGTTATATTTAAAATCTTTCTAATCTAATACTCCCTTTGTTCCACAAAACCCTTCCTCTTTCGTTTTTTTGCTTTCCACAAAACACTTCCACTTTCTATCAAAAAACCACTTTTACCTAGGGGTGGACACGGTACGGTTCCGGGACGGTTCCGGTTCCGGAACCACCGGTTCCGGTACCGCCACCCCTTGGTACCGGTACCGGTACCGGCCGGGCCGGTACCGGTTCCGGTTCCGGTACCGTTTCGGCCACCCCTAATTTTGTTTTTTTTTTTTGCTTTTTTATTATATTTTTAAAATATAAAATTGTAAATGTGTAATTGTTAAAGGAAATGATGAAATAAAAAAATCTAAAAATGAAATTGATAAATGAAAGAATGAAATAAAAAAAAATAAAAAAAAACGGTAACGGTACCAGAACCGGAACCGGAACCGCCGGTGCCGGTACCGAAAAATGGGCACCGGAACCGGTACCGGATTGGGCGGTACCGGTACCGGTTTTCGGAACCGGTGGACCGTACCGGCCGACGGTAACGGTACCGGAACCGGCGGTACCGTTTCCGGTACCGGTACTGTACCGGTACCGTGTCCACCCCTACTTTTTCATACCCTACCTATCACATCATACTTTTTCACTAATAACCAAACTATCACATCTTACTTTTTCCCATCACATCAGGGGCAAAATTGGAAAGTCAACCAAAATTATACTTTTCTTATTTTCCCCCAAAGTCAAAACCGGAAGGGTTTTGTGGAACGGAGGGAGTATAATTTTAATAAGAATAAGTAATATTCTCTTTGTTCCTATTCATCATCCTTATTTTCTTTTTACACTTTCCTAAATTAATTTTCCTTTTTCATTTTATGGAAAGCTTTTTGTGGCTCTCCTTTGTTTGTCTCTCTTCTCTAATCACTTTTAACCATATAATTTTAATTTTATTTTAAATTTTGTTCGAAATCAAAGTAGGAAGATTAATTTGTGACGGAGAGAAGAGTAAGAGATAAAACTAATGAGTTAAACTATGTGTATCCAAAAATTGTACCTTATCTTGTATTCTGCATGCACCAATATTTTGTATCAGAAAACTACTTCGTCTGTGTCATTAAACTTTTTTCCTTTCTTATTTTATCCGTCCCAAAAAAGCTTTCTCATTTCTATTAAAAAGTTATTTTTACCCACTACTATTTCTTAACATATCAATTACATCATACATTTTTACTATTAATTTACACAGCACATTGTACTTTTACCCTTCACATCTAAAAATATTTTTAAAAATTCAATACCAAAATAGACTTCTCTTAATTTTTTTAAAGAACACCTTTCTAGTTCCTCGTGTTCTATGCAATGGGTCACATCAAGTGAAAGCTAATCATATAAAATGAGCATTGGGAATGTGACAAATGAAATGTCAGAAACTTGGGAGAGGGTTTTCAGCTAGGAGTAGACGGTATTTAATGCATTGGAGACAATGACCATTTTGAAGTTTTCATCAATGTTCCCGTAGCTATGGTATCTTCAACCTTGTACGTCTAATGATTTAAAAAATGAGTATTTTCAAAATAAAATGAGTGTTTCCAACAATATAATGTGGCATAAAAACACGGAGTATGAAGCAAAGTAAACTTTTTGGATCAAAAGGGAGGAGGGAAACCCCGAGCTAGTAACTCAGTATGCTAGACTGTTAGAGGTCGTGTGAGTCTAAAAAACGTAGGCGAGTAGGGTCTCGATGTCTGCAGTAGGAGTCTCAAAAACTTTCCAGTCGATCATTATCCCGATAAGACACAATATTAGCAAGATGATCCGGCATCGTGTTTTGTTCATGAAAGATTGCTCGGAAAGTAAATTTTTGGAACCTATCCTTCTAATTCTTGATAGTGGTATTAGTTTCACAAATGGATCCTCTCAGCCGAATCGGCCCCGTTATTCATTTGACAACTTCTCTAGCATCCGTCTACATTTCAAGATCTCTCACCCAACTCTCCCAGACCCATTGGATGCCTTTCGTAATGACTTTGGCCTCAATATTAGTTAGCTCAGTTCTACAAGAGAATCCGTCTAACCATTCTCCAATGCTAGTGTGAATGACCCCACCACCGTCAGCATTCTTAGCCATTGTTGTTCTGCTCCCATCAACATTCAAAGTAAACCTGTAGTCAGTTGCGGGTTTCCACTTTAGCAACCGACCTCTCACAGTTACAGGAGAGAGAATTGATGCATGTATGGTGATTTTCAAAGGCCGCGATGGTCGCTTTGGTTTTTTCTTTAATCCAAGAAACCTTGTGCTGGGTATCAATATCTTCTCCTCTAAATACCGCATTGTTCCTCCATCTCCAAATCCACCAGTAGGTGGTGGCGAAGGTTGCAGCCCAATTACCGTCAAAATGTTTGTTCTTGTGTCTCCTTAGATTGTCTCCAATCCATCTTCTCATCTCACCGTGATAGCCCATATTGCTCCCCATATCAACTATGTTTTAAATCTCCCTTGCTTGTGGTCTCTTCGTGGTTTTTGATTGCACTAATATTTTGTGCTTATATGAACTATCCAAATGTTGGTACGTAGTTTTAGTGTACAATTTAGAGTACACTCTTTATTGTATCTCTAGTAGGAAAAACCTAGAGGTACCCTAAGTTGGTGTACCCAAAGTGTATACCAGCTTATAACAAGACACACAGACACCCATTGTCTGTGTGAAACACAAACACCCACTGTCTGTGTGAAACACAGACAATGGGTGTCTGTGAGAAGCTGGTGTATGTTAGTTACTTTGGTTGTTGTCCTTCTTCTTATGTAGTTGAGTTGTATAACTCCTATTGGCATTATTTTTTTGACAAACTAGTTTGTAGATGAGTTTTGTTTGTAACTAGCCGTTTTGGTTTTATATAGAGCTGTAGCGCCCTATCCATCATCTTGAGCTACAAGGAACTCAACTCTAGTGGAATACTCTTCGGTGTAAATAATTACTAAAAGTCCTGCTATGTTCTACTTTAGCTCTCTGATCTCCATCGCCAAGAACTTTTCTCCTGTAAGAGTCCACCTTATTAAGAGAAGCGCATATGCCTATTCTCTCGTTATTCTTGCGGTAAAAGGCTTAACGAAAAGAAGACTTTGATTGGGACTCAACTAAGGCTATCTCCTCTTCTGTATTTTCTAAAGACTTCATTGTATAGTGGGGTGGAGAAAAATAAGTGTAATCATTCACTAAGAGAGAAAGAGAGACCAGCGTACATATATGAATTG